CCCGTAGGTCCTGGTTCTAGAAAAGGTGAGAAATTCTGCTCTAGGCTGATCTTACAGGACATGGTAGAACATGATGAAGTGATAGTTTCTTGGGTATACACAACCTGAACAACATTAATAGCAGGAAGATTTATATTTCTCTAATGATGTTCTAACTCGCAGGTAAATATCCCTCTCCCTTCCCAGAAGTGAAGGCACAATCTAGCGGCTGATCATGGTACAAGATATTGATTGCCCCAAGGACTTGCATTATTTTCAGTGACATGCAGAACTAAACTGATGCAGACCTAGCCTGTCACACTACTTCTGCTGCATACCTTAAGGCTTGTGACGGTGGTCTCAACCTTTTCTTCAAAAGATTTGAATGTAGGAGAATTCCTAGAAAAGTAAACCACAAAATGGTCAGCTCTTTAGGTTCATGTCCTCAGTTTTTAATAGGTAATGCTGCAATAACAAAATTAGTCTCTGTCAGGATATATTTCTGTAGTTTAGCAATTCCAATTAAACACTTGCCATTGCCTCCAGACTTCAGTTATGAAGTTCTGGAGTTCTAAAAACACAGGTGTTAAGATCCACTTTAGTTGCTGTATATTATATTGCCATATTGAACATCTCTCATTGGCTACTGAAATAGTAACAACTCATGCTCAAGTGCAAGCAACTGTCAACTAGAAGGTGAATTTGATCCCTGAAGTCAGCTGGCTTCAGAAATTACTACTTTTCTCATCAAGGGGACATAGGGCTGGTGCCACCATTGAAGAGGGACCTGAGGTGGGTAGGGTGTGCCAGTTGGGAAAAATCCTCAGGATCCTCTTCACCACCAGAAATAACCTGTGGAACATTCTTTACTAAAAGTTGGGTCTAATGTAGGAAAACTGTCTTGCATGCTGCTTTTGGCCTGCTGTGCTGCTGCCCTGAGTGAGGCTGGAACGCAAATGTGAGGTATAACAAAGGGTGCCACAAATCAAAAGCAGCACATATGAGAACAGTGTACTAGTAGACGTTCTGTGCAAAACAAATGAACCCTAGAGCCTTCTGACTGCATATACAAGATGTGCATGTTCCATATCCTCCCCAACTTCCTTTTTCTGCCCAGTGTTAACAGGCACTGGGGAGGAAAGAAGGACACTCTTACTACGAATGAAGAATGGCTCAATATTCAGGGCAAAACACAAATGAAAATGCATTCATAACATCTTCCTTGGTGAAAAAGAGTCACATTAAAAAGTCCTAAAGACAAGTTATAGTCATAGAAGTCCCCAATCCGGAGGAGAAGAAGAGATTAAGGCTGCAGAGTGGGCATTGCACCTTTTAAAAATTTCTTCATGGTTTTGTTAATCAAAATCAACCCCCCCCTCAATGTTTAGACTTTAAAAAGAAAAAAAGGAGGGGGGGGAGACTGGTATCCATTTTTCTCCCTTTTTTCCTTTAGAGGGCTATAACAGGATTAAATCCCGTTTTATCCATGCAATGAAAAATGTAGTTCAATTTTAAAAGGCACTGAATGATCCAATCACAGTTTTCTTAGAGTCTCATCAGTTCTTAGTAGGGATGGGCATGAACTGCATTTTTGCAGTTCAATTTGTGGCTGAACCACAAACCTATACAAACTGGGAGGTTGGTTTGCGAACCAAACCAGTTCATATGGGTTTGTGACCCCTGTTTTCTGCTCCCTGCCACTTTAAACAGCTGAGCCCCTTTAAACAGCTGTTTTGGTGGCTTTTGTGGGGAGGAGAAAGCAAGGGTTTAAACCCCTGCTATTTGCTCCTCGCGAACTGTCATAAAAGTTTGTGGAGGTTCATGGCTGGGCTGCAGTTCACAAACCATCAACCAGCCAAAATTTGTCAAAGGTTTGTGAGCTGGTTTGTGCCCATCCCTAGTTCTGAGAGAGTCAGTGTGAGTAGGAATACTCATTTAGGAGTATGGTTCATTGCCATCTATTGGAATTACTCCAATTTGCTTAGTATGTGGCTAAATTTGAAGAATGGGTGGTGATCAAATTGAATTGCATATTAACTCCATGCTGTGAACAGGAGGAATTATCTTAGTTCCAAAGAAGGTAGTAGAAGTGCTTAAGTTCCATGAAAGAAAGGAGCAAAGACCATTAAACACAAAACCCTTTATCACTCCGATATACTTTACTGCACACCGTGTTTGTTGTTACAAAATTACAGTGAGCAGGGGCCACAGCTGCTTCCTGTAGCTTAGGCAGTCTTGCCCAAAGAAATCCAGCATGAATGCTGTCAAGTCAAGACACCTTTGCATTTGGACATTTTTAATTGGCTCTATTTTAGTATATCTGCCACTGAATCAGGCATAGAAATTTTAATGGGGACAGAGTGCATAATAGTGAATAATGTGCATAATGTGAATAGGATCTTTCCCTTTTTTGGGAGACGCCAATAATTCCCTAGCAATGTGGCAAAAAGCACACAGACTGCAGCGTTCTCAAAGAACAGTCAATTTTTCATCATTCGTATGTCCTGTTTCCTCTACCTCTAGGTCCATTCTGAGTGCAGTATAAATGTTTACCTACATTTCTAATTTCTGTTAAGGCATACAAGATATTTTCTGTGTGTGTGTTTACAATAAAGTAACAGTATATGGTAAAAGGGAGAGAACCTCCCCCTCTCACATTAACATGAGTATTCACAACAGCTAGAGGCTGAGGATTACACACCATTTTTTGTAATACACTAATATAAAATTTCCATAATGCACCACTATAAAAAGAATGTGTAACTTTTACCTCATAGCAGGCATACTTATGGAATGACGAATAGAGTAACTGTCACAAAAGAATGGGAAAGAAAAGAGAAAATATAAAAAGATTAATACAGGTTTGCTCTATGATAAGTTTCCAGAGCTTAGAATTTCAATTCTAAGACAAAATCTAGTACTCATGTCATGGTAGAAATCTATATTGGAATTCACTATTATAAGATATGAAAGGGTCAAAAAGGATGCAGGAACCTTTGCAGGGTTTAAACACGTTTTTGTTTGAGGAACTTCTGTAAGGTGATTTCTAGTGAAACTTCAATTCCTTCTCACTGGTTAAAAACTAGTAAAAAGTAATAAACAATTACAGAATTCACAGGCAAAAATAGAGGGAAGTGATGTCATTGAGGTGGTCTTAAAGGTGCTACTGGACTCAAACTTTGTTCTACCATAACATCATAAAACTGAAACCAAAATATACCCATCTATTGCAACTGTGTGAGCAATTCTCTTGGGGTTAGTTTTACCCTGGGAATGAGCTGAACAGCAATGATCCTCAGCATCAGTTTGGCCAGAGACTGTTGTGAGCACAAAAAATAAATGGATGGATCACATATAGTGTAGCCTCTACAACAGTCTGTATAAAAAGAACCCCATAGCCCAAAAGTGTTTGGTACTTTATATTTGAACCTCTGGAAAAATTAGAATTTATGAAAGATATCTAAGGAGGATACGTTTGCCTGAGAGTGTCATATTTTGAATGACCTTCATGATGGGAAATTGAATCTTGCGTATTCCTGCCAAGAATGCAGTAAAGCAACATCCCAAATCCTTGTCCCAGCTTTTCTTTAGCAGACCCTGCACTGGCTAAAACAAGCTGTAAAATCAAGATATTCTGGATGAAATAATGTAAATTCCTGATCTTCAGGCAGCAGTTCTGAAGGACTATGTCATGTCCTTTCCCACAAAACAAACAATGCCAAACAAGCATTAATCTTACCCAAGTGAATGCGACCTGGAGCAGCAGCATAAGGAAAAATTAAGAAGAATTAAGTGTTGGCATATAGGTAATGAAAATAGCTGGACATAGAATAATCTACATCAAAAGTGTTCACATGCTGTGTCAAAAATAAATGCAAATTGAGGTAGAAATAAATTCCACTAGCAACACTTGGGTACATTAGCCAATTTTGCATGAAGAGGCTTGAACACCTGCCAAGTTAGTTCACATTTGGTTTGCTGTTTGCAAACGGGGAGCTGATTTTTCAATAACCGGTTCAACTATTCATTGACTCATTTGTGGCTGTTCGACAGACTGCTTCATTGTATTCCTCTGTAACCATGCAGAACAGTGCAATGGATTTTTCATGCATGTGAAACACAGCTCAATTGAGTTGTACTACGCCGGTCCTTGTTGTGCACCTGCTATGCTCAGTAGGCAATTGTTTAAATTAAATCTTTCACAAAGCATATAAATCAGTCATAAATAAATCCTGTATTTTAATTAAAGCTTCCTCTGGTGTTTGTCTAAGTAGTCCCTAGTGATGCTAATGGCTAACAATCAGTGTGAATCAGCAGCGCCTTTATGCATGTGCACTTCTGCAAAAACCCAATGCAAACCTGTCTGGCAGGAGTTCACAGTTGTTTGGCATGAGCCAAACAGGTTGGATGACTGGCTCACATACAATCAGTACTTCTGGTCACAGTATGTTGCAGCATCGCTAAATGTGTATGCTTTATTTGCAATTTAAAATTTCTTCAGCAAGAAGCAGCGCAACATAAAAAGAGATAAATTACATGCATGAAAGGGAAATGTGACTGGAGGACACAAAGATAGAGTTCACAGCAGAGACATTCCTCTATCTGAGCACTGAAGCTTTTAAGCAGATTCTGACTACAAGCATCCAAGTATATAACTGCATCCATGAATTCTAGAAGTGCTTAAACAGGTTCTGTTTCACACAACCATTTCCCAGCTGGATTCCAAAACATTTTTATCAGCCTGTCTTCTGTATGTCCATAATTGTCTTGAGGGTATGTATGTAGCATCAACTAGTTTGCCAGCATTTCTTTTGGGGAAAAAACAGAGAATGAACATACTGGCAATTTTTGTGTAGGGCAAGGCTATGACCACAATCTATCAGCAGCAGCAGCAGCAATGTCAAATTATCCAATGGAAAAAAGAAACCAGTTTTGAAAATTACCCCCATTGGAGTCTATATCTCAATCTGTGCATAATTCAGGGATCCCCAACATGGTGCTCATCGACACATCTACTGGTGTGGGAAAGTGAGTGGGACCAGGTTTGTGACTGAAGGGTTTGTGACTGGCCACTGGAGACCTGATGGGCTGTACAGATTAAAATAACACTGTTTCGGTGATAGCTGCAAACTCCTTTTTCCCCAGTCGGATTTTTTTAAAAAAAATATTCCTCTTGTCCCTTGCACTTGAGATTTCTTTGTGCATTCATGTCTCTCTCTCTCTCTCCTGTGGCAGCCGTTTGGTGATTGTGCCCACCTGTGCCAGAATTCCTAAGGTGCCCATGGGTTCAAAAAGGCTGGGGAACCCTGAACCCCCAGAATATGAACACATCTGGCTCATTACTATTTTAGGAGAAGGAAAATATGATAGCATATACATCATCCTGAAAATCAAATTCACACCAAAGGAAATGCTTAAGAATATATGTTCAGATAGACCCCTCCTTGTAAATACATAATACAAAAGGGGAGAGAGAAGGATTAATCTAACAACCCTTGGATTGAATAATTCAACTAAACAACATACACAATCAATTGCAACATTTGCAAGGTAATGATTTAGTAAACCAAGTTACTTACATCAGCTGGTGAAGCTGGATTATAGTGGCAGAATTAAAAGCAAGAAGATATTGGAACTGTTTACTGTACAGGGGCCAATCTGCTAAATACCGATACTGCGCAATCTCCATTTAATTCAGCAAGGTCCGTGTGGGACTTTTAAGCAAGCTACACAGAAATGAATAGAGTTTATGTAATGGCAGCGCCTGCTAGACTAGACAAATACAATCTGATTGAATACAAACCAAAGGCAAAGCCCTGCAGGATATGAACTGAGTTCTTTGGTGATGCAAACTCTGTGTAAAGTTCAGTCTTGAACTTTGCTTTTACATATGAAGTATCACAGAACATTGTCAATTGCAACTTTCTAGTCTTACTGTTAGTATAATGCAAACGTAGTGGCTTGAATCCTATGAATGAGTTCCATAGATGTTTGATAATCTGTGCCATGGAGCTTGCTTCCTCTTTTACTAAACCTTCCATTTGTAAAAGATCAATGGCTTTCAATGGGCCCCTGCACAAGTGGAACATCCAGTAGAACAGGAAGCACTCTCCAGAGCAGAGACTATCTAACATGCCTGGAACTCGTCCACAGGATCCAAGCCTTTATTTATAAAATTTGACAAAAAAAAAGAATGTCCTTTCTACTACTAAAAGCCTAAATTTGGTCTAGTTATAAAATTCCCTAATCTAATGAAATATACTGAGTTCTACACTCGATTAGTAATCAGCTCATACTTTATTGTGACTCAGCTCAAACTAAGGACTAACTAGCAGGACCAAAGCCCTGCTTAAATCTGGGTACAACACCACACCCCACATACACCCACTACCCGTGATAGGCTATTTACAGTGCGGCTCCTGGTCTGTAGGTTCCTTCCAGGATCCTAGCTGACTATTGTTCTCGGTTTCAAGCTAGGCTAGTCGATGCCAGGCCCAGGACATAACACCCTCCCCCCAAAGTTCAGACCCCCCCTAACAAACATAGTCTCTCAAGTATGCGAGTCTGCGTTCTTTGCGGTTTGAACAATATAGTTCTGTCAGTGGGGCTGGGGTTTCGGGCTCAGGTCCCGAAAGAGCAGCCGAGGTGCTCGGGGGCGGAGCTGGCGTGACCTCGGAGCCAGCCATGGTTGCTTATTCCAGCGTTTCTTCCACGGGTCCCCCTGGTTGTTCACTGGCTGTGGGTTGCACGCTGGCCGCTGGGACCCCCTCTCAGCCTCCGGCTCCTGTAGGCCTGGCAGCTCCATGCCATCATCGTCTGGGGTCGCTGATGGCAGACTTGACTCGGCTGGGAGGAGATGGCGGTGGAGCTGGTCGATGTGCCTCCTAAGTACTTGATCTCTGTCGGTCGACACCTCGTAAGACGGGGGCCGGTGACTTGGATAAACTTTGGCTGGGACCCAGGCGGGGCAGCTGGCAAAATTCCAGGTGTAGACGGGGTCACCTGGAAAGAACCCCTGGGTGCTGCTTGGTTCTCAGAGCCTGCATGGTGTTCCGAAGCCCGGTCTGGGTGCATCTGGTCTAGTTGGGTGGTGAGATGTCGTCCCATGAGGAGTTCCACCGAGCTGTGGCCGATGGAGGTGCTTGGTGTCACCCGCTGGCCAAAAAGGAAGGTTACGAGCTGGTGATCCCAATCTCCATGGATGATCCGCCAGAAGGATTCCTTTGTGGTCCTCACCATCCTCTCGACCTGGCCGTTGGTAGCCAGGTGGAAGGGTGCAGATCATATGTGCCTGATTAAGTAGCAGCTCATGAAGTCGTAGAACTCACTGGAGGTGAAGGCTGTCCCGTTGTTCGTCACAACGGTGTCGGGTAGACCTTGGGTACAGAAGATCTGTTGGAGGGCGCGGATGGCTGCTTTGGACGAGGTGGAAGGGATCGGTAGCACTTCTAACCATTTGATGCAGGAGTCCACCAAAATGAAGAAAATCTGCCCTTGGAAGAGCTCCGGAAAGTCCAGATGTAGCCAGGACCATAGTCTGTGGGTGGACTCCAACTGTCATACCAGTGCCCTGGGAAGTTCTGGTTGGGTTTCCTGGCAGGGCTGGCAGCGCTTAACACAGTCCTTGATTTTGCTGTCCACGCTGGGCCACCATACGTAGCTGCGGGCCAGCGCCTTCATCTTGATGATGCCCCGGTGCATTTCATGGAGCACCACTAGAACTTGCCGGCGCAACGGGGCTGGCACCACTACCCAGCTTCCACACAGCAGGCAATCTTTGTGTGCAGACAGTTCATCTCGGTGGGAGAAGGCCGCGAATTTTGAGCCCACCTGGCTGGTGGGCCATCCCCTCCCCACCCAGTCCAAAACGCAGGACAGGATATGGTCCCTTGCGGTATGGTGGGACACGTCCAACACCTGAAGAGGGTGGTTGGGAAGGTCCTTGAGGAGCATTATCTGGTGGGCAGGGGCAGGATCTGGGTCGCACGAGGGCAATGGCAGGTGGCTGAGGGCGTCAGCGTGTCCCATCGCCTTCCCAGGGTGGTGAAGGAGAGCGTACTAGTAGCCCCCTAGGAAAATAGACTAGCGTAGCACTCTGGGAGATAGTATCTGAGGCATTTGGCGGTCTGGGGCCAGCATGCCCAGCAGGGGTTTATGATCAGTCACTATAGTGAAGGGCCGCCCACAGAGGTAATCGTGGTATAACTCCCACCACGATAGCTAATGCTTCCTTGTCTATCTGAGCATAATTGCATTTGGCGGATGACAATGTGCGAGAGTAATAGGCCACGGGAACTTCTCTGCCGTCGGGTAACTGGTGTCCGAAGATGGCTCCTACCCCATACGGGGACGCCTCGCAAGCAAGGATGATGGGCAGCGCTTCATCAAAGTGAGCAATCCTGCTGAGCAAACCTCCCCGGCGGCTGTAAGTATCCCACCTCCTCTCCTACACCTGACATGCAGCTGCCTGTCCAGTGTAGGACGGGAAGGGGGGAGGAGTATTAGAAGCCACTGGGGAGGTGGGGCTGTAGCTGACATACAACCACCTGTTAGGTGTAGGAGGTGGGGGGAGTGTGTTGGAAGCCAACCCACTTCCTCTCCTACACCTGAGAGGCCGCTGCCTGTCCAGTGTAGGAGGGGGAGGGGGAAGGAGTATTAGAAGCCACTGTGGAGGTGGGGCTGTAGCTGACATACAACCACCTGTTAGGTGTAGGAGGTGGGGGGAGTGCGTTGGAAGCCACCCTGCCTCCTCTCCTTCACCTGACAGGCAGCTGCCTGTCCAGTGTAGGAGGGGGAGGGGGAGGAATATTAGAAGCCACTGTGAAGATTGGGCTGCACCTCACAGACAATCGCCTGTTAGATGTAGGAGGTGAGGGGGAGTATGTTGGAAGCCACCCCACCTCCTCTCCTACACCCAACAGGCAGCTGCCTGTCCAGTGTAGGAGGGGGAGGGGGGAGGAGTATTAGAAGCTACTGGGAAAGGTGGGGCTCCTCTCCTACACCTGACAGGCAACTGCTTGTCCAGTATAGGAGGTGGAAGGGGGAGGAGTATTAGAAGCTACCGGGGAAGGTGGGGCTGTAGCTGACAGACAACTGCCTGTTAGGTGTAGGAGGTGGGGGGAGTATGTTGGAAGCCACCCCACCTCCTCTCTTACACCCGATAGGCAGCTGCCTGTCCAGTGTAGGAGGGGGAGGGGGGAGGAGTATTAGAAGCTACCGGGGAAGGTGGGGCTGTAGCTGACAGACAACTGCCTGTTAGGTGTAGGAGGTGGGGGGAGTGTATTGGAAGCCATCAAAGAGGCTGGGCCAGCAGCCTTGCTTCACCTCACAGGTGGTTGTTGGCCACTCCTGATTTCCTCAACTGTCATTAGCTCTGTGCAGTCCCCTGTAACTGTTGGCTTTTTTTTTACCTCAGAACACTGAGCTCTGCAGCTGACCAGAGAGTGGGGGGGTGCAGAGAGGCAGGTGCCTGGAATCAATGGGGGGAGCACATTTTCCCCCTTTTGACCCACTTAGGAGTCGAATTCTAAAAATCCCTTCTTAGCAAGCACCTACGCCACGGTAGGAGCGCTCTCCCTGAATTTGGTGTCTCTAGGTCCAACGGTTTGGCCTGGTCACTGATTTTACGGTGAGGGGACTTTCTTTTTTATATATGGATTAGACATTCCTTGGTGTGCAAAAGTTCCCAGGGCCCAACAACCCCTGTGAGACCCCACAAGAGGCTTGCCTATGATTTTGCATGAATTCCCTCCCTTCCCTTCAGTCCCAGGAAATCCATGTTTTATTCCTATCATTTCTCCACTCCTACATCAAGATCTGTCATCATTGCTCATGCTCAAATTTGTATCATACCTACTGTATATCCTGGGGTCCAGTTGACTTGCTGCCTCCAGTCTTGCTTCACATCCCTTCCCCTAAGGATCATTCTCTTTGGATTACTGCCTAAAACCTCTGCCAAAATTCTGCTTTGCATTCCTCCCAAGTTTTCCCTCTAGAAACCCCAAATCGTTTGGCTGCTACAGGTCCAAGGTCTCTGTCAGCCTCCTGGACTCCTGCCACCCCAAGATGAATAGGACATGTAATATTCTTTTCTGCTCTGCTTTTCTCTTTTTCACCCTTTTGTTTGGTGCTCTAACATGCGTAAATATTACTTCAACAACAGATATGCATCTTGTATTTACCCAGTGAATCACCTCTATATTAATATATTCCAAGTTTCATTTTAATTTCCAGTCTTGCTACAGAGCTTCATGGCTCTGTTTTAAAGATCTCCATAGAACAACCTACTTGTATTTCCTATGCAACAATAATATCAAGTCACACCTTTAGCATGTAAGGAAGTGATATGAAGCATTTTCCCATAAGAGAGACCGCAGACAATGTCCAAATAATTATTTAAATTGGTTCTCAATGATAATTCATGTATAGCTTGGACTGCAACAAGAAGTCATGCTTACATATGTGAAGCTGCTATCACAGGATAAACACAGATTTCCTGTATCACTTCTAAATACCCTCAATTTTCTATGCAGGATATTCAATTTTCAACTGAGGATATTCAAACAGCTATGAATCACCAAATAAGTGATTACTTTTATGTACATGTATATTTGTCAGCTATTCCAAACATACATTATGGAGATATTACAATGATATATGAACTCAGAATTGGTTAACACAAGCCCCTGGAACCCTTTAAATGCTGTTTTTCTAGTGGGTTTTTTTTCCTAGCGCAGCTTGGAGTTCAGGGAAGGTGTGCGGCCAGCAGCCACCCCTCTCCCTCACCTGCAAGATTTAAAGGGCCCACTGATCAGCTGGAGGGCCACATGGTCCCACCAATCAGCTGAGTGCCCTTTTAATGTCACAGGAGGCGAGGGAGGGGGGAGGAGGGGTAAGGGGGGAGAGAGGCAGCAGCTGTTGTGGGGTGTCCCTCACATTTGAGGGGACGGAACCCCAAAATGCCCCACTGTAGCTACAGGCTTGGTCAACACTAGCCAAATCTAAGTAATAAGCAGTAGCATCTTGAAATGAATGCACTGGATAAACCAAGCAGTAATCAGTTCTCCAATTTTAGGTTAAACTGGCACAGAAGAATTTAAAAACAAAACAAACACAAATGGTACCAGATCTAATTTGGTACCAAACTTACTGTCAAAAAGCTCTTCTGAAACACGGAGCTTGTTAATGGAGAATTTCTGGACAAGACATTTTTTCAACCCTATCTCTGTTGTACAAAACTGACACTATTTCAAACTTGTCCCTGATTTGTAATGACGGGTATGCTGAAATATGAAATGAGCAATATAAATAATACTTTCTCCAGTGTTAAAATCTAGCATGTAGATTCACAGTAGGACTCCTATAAAAAACATATTTGTAGTGTGTAGAAAGTTCCACAGACCTGTGCTGTCAGTGTTATCAAATGAGAAGCATATATGACATGGAAACAAAGGATATTTTCTCATACATCCAGTGAAACAAAAGCAGCATTTCAACAATATATGCACTTAAGTTTTAAATAGCACTATCCATTTATATAATGATTGAAAGAGTAACATAAACACACACACACACCCCAAAAAAACCGAGCCATGTACCTGTCTACAAACAGCTTACAATCTACATTTCAACAATAGAGGGGGGAAATCAAGAAGTTTGATAAGGATATGCACAATTGCCATTTTGTCTGAATTTTCAGTTTCATTGGCCACAAACTAAAATCCTGGAAAAACCTGGATTCTGGTACACATGTACCAAGGCTGAAAATATGTGCATTGTCTCCTTCAGACGAAATAGTGATTATGCATATCAGGAGGTCTGCTTGTAGTGTGTCTTCCCGTATGTGTAGTGAAATGTTAACAACTGAAGAGGGCTAGAGACAAAATGATTATGTAAAGCAAAAAAGAATACAAGCAAATACAAGTTAAATTGCCCACAAATGGCTTTGTTTCAGTCAGGGATGAAGAAATAGGAAATGCCAACACTAATACTTAATTACGGGAGTCTGAGAGCTGGCTGAAGTAATAGTTCCAGGGCACAATCCTACTCTGTTAAAGTAATTCGGAGGCTTTCCACTAAAGCCAGGGGAAGAAGAATTGCAAACATCTACAATTTAAGATCTAAGGATAACAGGAGATCCTTGCTCCTCTATAGAGATAACCACAGCATTCCCTACTTTCAGATGTCACATTAGAAAAACTATGATCCCAAGACAAACAAAAAAAACCCTCTCTGACCAGAACCACCACTCTTTCTTAGACCTCTCCACTGAAGTCAGTAAAGGGAGATAAGGAAAAAGGAAAAAATCCATCATTCAAAGTTTGCCAAATAGGGTCTAAAGTCAAATTAAATTGCGATCATTTTACAAATGTCTTTATTACAGTTAAAGTTCTTTAGGAATTTGCTAAAAATGTATTTAAAAAGCACGGTTTAATCTTTCCAAGAATAACTTGGGGGCAAATATCCCTTCCTCAAAAGTTATTTATCTGTAACTATTAATTCATGACATGAATTATGAATCTTTCTTTGACTCGGCTTACAGTATAGAATCCCCATGAATAATACCTTTAGTTGCTTTGAGCATGCTAGGTTTTAAAACAAAAGTATATTTTTATCAAATTTACACACCACTTCCCAGGCATAAGGTCCTCTTAGCAAGCTTAATCATAAAGAAGCTATCGTGTATGATAAACAGGGAAAAAAGGAAAGATGAATCATGGCTGAGCAAAAAATGTGGGAAACCCAAATTTCCTTCTGGAAATGAAATCCAAGTTTCTGTACCTCATGTCTCCAAACTTCTTGCTGATGACTGTCCCAACATTGCTGAAAGCAGCTGTGGCCTTTTGTCCTGCTTGGCTCAGAGTCTCTTGAGTCTTCTTATAACTGACAATAAAGACATCACAACATAAGGAACAGCTCTAGAAGAAAATAAGGTGAAGCTCTTTAGGCCTCAGACCATTTGCTTCACCCCCTCAACCCTTACGTAGCTTCAGCACTGTTGCGGGCAGTGGCGAGGGAGGTTCACTACTGGCAACCACTCTGGTATGGGGCTCCTTGGGAGGGCCCAGAGCACCCACCCTACCCCCTCTTACAGTACTTTTACAACAGGTCTCCCCTTGTACATGACCAAATGAGGCGTGAGGACCCAGGCAGACTAACAAATAGTTTTATTAAGAGATTTAACAACAACCTTAGATCTATAACAAGTAGGAAAAAATAGCGAAGTAAAGGCAGGTAAATCAGTAAAATAATAAATCTTAACACATCTATCTATAGTTATACAGTCCTAGTCTTCTCTAGATGCCTGTTCACAGTCTAACTCACTCCTTTTTGGATGAGGGATCCCTCTGTCTGCAGCAGCTTCCACCAGCCCTGCTCCCTAAGAAAGAGCCCCCTCCCACGCTGGGTAAGGCCTTTTATCTCCTCTTCCCTCTCTATTCCCTCTCTATTCCCCTCCTGTTACCCAATCACAGGTCCAGAGGGAACCTGGGAAATGTAGGCATTGAAGACTACTCCCATACAGGCCCATGTAAAGAGGTCAGTATGTTGACTGTGGTTGAGAGAGCTGAGAGGTTCACTGTACAGAGATTAAAACACACTAAATATGCCATCACTAAATCAAATCCAGCAATTAAAAGCTTTAACACTGACAAAACAAAGCAATAAAATGCAATGATAGTAATATTGCAAGCAGGAACTAAAGAAAGAATTTCCAGGGAAGGATGCAAGGAACTCTGACCTGTCCACATACATGAATGCATAAACCTGCCTTATACTAAGTCAGGCCCTTGGCCTAATAAAGTCAGTATTGTCTACTTTGAGAGGCAGTGTCTCTTCAGGGTGTTGAGTGGAGGCCTTCCACATCACTTGTGACCTGATTCCTTTTAAAAATGGAGATGCTGGAGACTGAACCTGCGATCTTCTGCATGCAATGCAGATACTGCTACTAGGCCATGGTTCCCTATTCACTTTTCCTCACTCATCCACCCTCTCACACAACAGCTCTGTATGCACAATGTGTATGTGTACAAGGTCAACATGTCATGTAAGATTGCTTGCCCAAAGATTTTAGTTACATCACTTTAGGCTGCTCAATGTGTATTTTATGCTATTATGTCCTGGCCTGTTTTAATGGAGTTGGGGTTTTTTTAGTGGCTTGCTTAATGGTTTTGTTTTGCTTTTAATGGCTGTAGTTTAATGGTTTTGTTTTACTGTTTTGATTATAAGGCTTACACATTTTCTAAATAAATAAATGGTGCTAACCTCTACCTCCACCCCACATGGGCAAAGTGCCTATAATACATACAAATTCCATATGTGTAGGCTTTGTCCCCACAATTTTGAATAATGCATTTCAAACATTTCCATTCATGGGGATAGATCTACTGTACACATCTATGGGAAATGCCAGCATACTTGGTCCTATTACCTCTCTACACATATTTGCCCTGTACCCATAATATTATGGTTTTTACTATACCACTTAGAGGAGATCGTTTTGGATATTTCCCCCATGTAAAAAGAGAAGCATATTACTCCATGTAATTATATCCGTAAGGTTCCTTAGGGACAGGGGTCTTTTGGGGCTGGAGCGGCCGGAGCACTGCTCCAGCAGCCCAGGAGATGGCGCAAATGGTGGCGCGGCAAGCCCCACCCCCAGCTCCCTGCGCCAAAGTGCTGGAGCCGGGGGGAGGCCCGAAGACCTCCCTGCCAGGTCCCCCGGGCCCACACCGAAGCGCCAGGAGGCCCGAAGAGCCCCGCAGCTGGGTCACCCGGGCCCACGCCGAAGCGCTGGGAGGCCCAAAGAGCCTCGCAGCTGGGTTTCCCAGGCCCGCTGGAGCGCTGGGGCTGGGGGCAGGCCCAGAGAACCCCACAGCTGGGTCCCCCGGGCCCGCGCAAAAGCAGTAATTAAGGGATCTGCAGGGGTGGGGGTGGTGGGGGCTTGATGGGGTGTGGGAGAGCCTCCCTCCCTCCATCTCTTTGCCATCTTTCCCTCCTTTCCTTCTTTCTCTCTGTGACGACCTCTTATTTGGGGAGGTCTAGTTTTACTTTAAAATGTTCTTTCAGTTTTACTCTGTAGGGTTTTCTGGCTGCCACCAGGGAAATCTAGGTTTTCCCAAACCTTTTCCTATAATATTTTCCACAGGGTAGGTGTACCATGGGTCTTAGGCATTCATGAAGGTCTATGTTGTCTGAGGAAGGATTATTTGCTGCTGGTATACTTGAAGGAATTAGGATTTATTTAAAGAAAACATAAATACGAGGGTAAACAATGTAAACAGTACTGGGAAGGATTTGAACAAATGCTTGGTGTCTCTCACAAGCTTCTCCTTTACTGACAGGGAGGTTAAAGCAACTTT